AAATCTTGAAGATATTGGCATAGGAAAAGACTTTATGAACAAAACCTTAGTCACATGAGAACTAGCACAAAGAAAGAACCACTGGGATCTCATCTTATTAAAATGCTTTTGCACAGCAAGAGAAACTACCAACAGTGTGAAGAGACAACCTATAATGTAGGAAAAAATATTTAGCAGCTGTTCCTCAGACAAAGGACTACTATCTAGAATATATAAAGAACTCAAAAAGTCAGACCCCCAAATTTAAACACCCAATCAGGGGCATCTGAAATGAACAGACATTTCTCAGCTGAAGAGGTAAAAACAGCAAATAATGAAAAAATGTTCAACATCACTGGTCATTCACGAGATGCAAGTGAAAACAACACTGAGATTCCATCTCACCCCAGAAAGAATGGCTGCTATCAAAAAATCAAATGCTGGCAGGGCTGTGGGGAAAAGGAACTCGTCTGCACTCACTGCTGGTGAGAGTGTAGACTGGTGCAACCACTGTGGATATCCGTGTGGAGATTCCTCAAAAAACTAAAACTAGAGGTTCCATTTGACCCAGCACTCTCCTTCTTGGTATCTTCTCAGAAGTATCAAAAGCATCCTGCCACAGCAATATATGTGCACCCGTGTTTGCAGCAGCACGTTTTATAATAGCTAAGTCTTGGAAACAGCACAAACCCCATCAACCAGTGATTGGATGAAGAAGATATGGGGTTTTTCTAATATATAAAATGAGGTACCACTCAGCCACAAAGAAAGATAAACTAGAGACATTTATAGCCAAACAGATGTACCTGGAGACCATACTCTTAAGGGAAATAAATAAGACACATGAGTAAATACGGAATTGTTTCTCCGATATGAGAAATAAAGTGTAAATGGGACCAAAATGTATAGTGGACATTGTGAAATAGGAAGGAAGCGTTCACAAGGGAAGAAAAAGGGGGTGGGAGGTGGGGTGGGGGAGAGGAAAACAGGGAAAGGAAAATGAGAAAAAAGGGGGAACACCAGAAACACAGCTTTTATAAATAAGGCAGGGTGCAGGAGTTGAAGGGAGGAAAGGGGAATGGTAAAAACAGAGGAACCAAACCGTATCATGTACAGTTACAAATTCCCATGCATGAATGTGAGCATAATGTATAACTGAAATGTACTAATAAACTTAATTGAAAAGAATTAGTAAAACTAATAGGTTGACTTTATGGATCCTTTCAAGGGTGTAGGTTTTACTTCGTTGAATAATTTTATTGGCTTTTCTTTTAACTACCGTTGATTGCTTCTGTATCTTAATTTTTCACCCTTTTGGTACCTTTGGTTTAAATTTGCTGGCCTTTTCTAGTTTCTTCAGATAATAGCTTAGAAGACTGATTCCAGACACTTCCCTTTCCAGTATGACGCTCTCATGCCGTGATGCTCTCTGAGCAGTACTTTACTTGCAGTTATTTACCCACGTCACACACACATTTAGGTTGTATTTTAATTTCCAGCTCAAAATACTTTTGAAAATTCATCCTGATACTCCTTGACCTATGTAAAACTAGGAATGTGTGGGTTATTTTTAAATATCTGAGGATTTTCCAGATATCTTTATGTTACTGGTTTTTAGTTTACACTAAAGATCTACTTTATGTGACTCATTTTCTTTTATATTTGTTAAGCTTTGGTTTTGGTCCCAGAATATGTTCTACTTTGCTGACTATTTCATGTTTCTGAGAAGAACATTTATTCTGGTGTTTTGTCGAAAAGGATATTTTAGAAGTTTAAATCATGTCAAATCAGTTGATTTTGTTCAGGTTATCCATATAGTTATACACTTTTAAGATATTTGTTCTTTTGATTACATAGCAAAAGCTGTTAATTTTTTCAAGTATGTTCATATTCTTGTTTGTCCTACCCAATCTAGTATTTTTGTGTCCTGATTTTTTTTGCACCTCTTTTGGTAAGGCTTAAGGACTGTCACTCTCACAGAAATCACACCCCTGACATTACGTAACTCTTCTTATTCCTGGAACATCCCAGGTTCCGAGTATACTTTGCTCAAAATTAGCACAATGACTCCAGTTTGCTTTTTATTTAATGTTACATGGCATTGCTTTCGCTTTTCATGTTTTCTGTTTAACTTTTAATCTAATTGTGCCTTTATATCTAGAGTGACTTCAGGTAGTGCACAGTTCAGTGGTTTTTTTTTTTTTCTTCAAGCTGACAATCTGTGTGCTTAGACCACTATTACATACAGTAATCGTTGACAGGACTAGAATAAAATACATCTTCTTGCTAGTTTTTTTACTCTATTTCCCTTTTTTCAATGTACTTAATTAAGCAGTTTTAGTCTCACATTTTATATACTCTCTAGAGTTATTATTATAACCATTTAAAAATGTACTAACTGTGCTAGGATTTACAATATATATTAACAATCTGAATTGACCTCCAAATAGTATTATGATGATATATATGTACTATAAAAACCTATCTAGAGCTGGGCGTGGTGGCGCACACCTGTAATCCCAGCACTCAGGAGGATGAGGCAGGAGGATCTCTGTGAGTTCGAGACCAGCCTGGGCTACATAGTGAGTTCCAGGTCAGTCTCAACTACATAGTGAGACCCTGTCTCAAAAGAGCCTATCTAGAATCAGTCTCAATTTCTTCCTTGAATCTCTTAGGCAATTGTTACTTATTACATTTTTTTTCTTGTTCTGTAAACATAAAATATATTGTCATATGTTTGGCTTAAAGCGCTTATTTTTTTAGAGTCAAGAAAATTAAAGAAGAGGTATCTGTTTATTGCTTTTCCAATATTCTTCATTTCCCTAAATGGACTCCAGATTCTGCATAAGTCACATTCTTTATTTCAGAGAACTTCCTTTTCATTCATTGTTGAGTAAATCGAATGGCAGTGAATGTCCCACCATTTCTGATTTGCTGAGAAAGTTTTTGTGTTATTTCTACTTTTGAGAATATCATCTTTGAGGTTCATTCTTGGTTAACAAATTTTTTCTTTTAGAACTTCAAACATTTCATTCCATTGTTGTCTTTGTCATATAATTTCTGAAGAAAAGTCTGTGATTGATTTTATCTTTGTTGTTCTGCAAGATCGCTTCTTGGCCATTTGGCTAAGATCAAGTGTTATTCTGCAAGATAAAACAGGCAAGATCTGTCTTTTTACTCCAGCTGCTCTCAAAATGTCCTCTTTGTATCTGATTTTCAACTGTTTTAATATGATATATTTCTGTTGTTGCTGTTTTGTTTGATATTTATCCTGCCAAATGTTTGAGCTTCTTGACTCTGTACTTTAAGGTTAATCATGGTTTTGCAAAATTCTCCATTACTGTTTTTTCAAAGACCTCATTTACTGTTTATTCTTCTTGGAATTCAACTGTACATAGATTAGACAGTGTGTTATGTTTCCACAGCTCTTACTTTCTTCTGATCTTTTCACTCTGTATTTCAGGCTATAATATAATAATTGCTATGCATCTGTTGTAAAACCCGGTTCTTAGGAATGCTTTATCTTTCACTATCTTTTGGATGTTTTGGATTTCCATTAGATTGCTTCTTAAAACTTCATTGATCTGATTAAATCACTTATTTAGTCTTGTATGCTATCTCCCTTGTCCATTTGAACCATTAACATATTAAATAATTAAATTCCCTCTTTCACATTTGGTTGTTTTTGATTGCTCTGTCTATTGAGACTGCTATTCTTTGTTTATTGTGTGTCCTGGAATTTCATTTACAAGCTAAATACATATTTGAGAATAGTAGGGACCGAGGTGAATGTGTTGTATGCTTAGAGATGAGCACGGCTTTCACTCAGTTAGCCTTTAGCGTGAGGAACTTTGCTTTTTCAGTTAGAAATGGGCCAGGTTTTCACTCCCACCCCATGGCTGGCCTCTGGTCTTCCCTTTGCACTCTTCTCAGGAACTGCTTCTGACTCCCGCGTCACGCCACCTGGACTACACTGCTGTCTTCACTCTTCGCTTCTTAGTGTGTTGGGGTTGGAGTAAGGAAAACTAGGGTAGTAAAACCGACATTTTAACTAAGACCCACTCATAGGCCGGATTTCTGAACATGGTTCTGGGGGTCTTTGCAGAAGAATCAATACACAGAATTATAGAAGGTGACTTACTTGGTTGGTTTATGGGATTGGAAAATCCATAACGGTTGGCTGCATGTCAGAGAACCAGAGTATCCTGTAGCACAATCCAGAAACCTGAAAGCCTCAGAAGAAAAAGGACCAAGGATGTAACTGCACTCAGAGACTGAAGGCCTAGGAGCTCCCTGGAAGTCACTGGTGTGAGTCTGTGTCCAAAAGTTGAAGTGAAGTCTGGTGTCCAGGCTATGGCGGCAGCCAAAGCCATACCTGCCATAGTAGTCCAGCCTGGAAGTCACAGGCTGGCTCCCTCCTTCTTGCTCTTTGGTTCGATCTGAGCCTCAAGCCTGGTGAATACTGCCCCCCACAATAAGGAATCGTTTTTGCCACGAGTTCCTGGCTTTCTTCAGAGGTTGAATTTGTTGTTTGTCTTGAAACTTTGTATCATTGATGGGTTTAATAAAAGTCACTAATGTAAGGTCACTTTAGACAAACAGATAGGCTGCTCCAATAGGCCAGGAGTAGACACCTAGTCACAGGAAAGCCTGCTGACAGGAATCAACAGCCTTGCCAGGACTTAGTGCAGCAGGCGAGAGCGGGTCCCCACAGGAGAGAGGGTGAGTCCTTAGACATACGCCTCCACCTCGGTAAGTGCCTTGTTCAGACCTAGACAAATTATAAAAATACTTGCCTCTGTCCAGTGTGAGATTTTAAAAATTTTTAGATTTTTTAATAACCAGCAATAATGAAATTGGTTATCTCCAATTCATTCTATTTTAAAAACTTAAGTAAGCTTATTTTAGAACAATTTTAGATTTATGGTAAAATTGCAAAGAATTCCTGTGTATCTCATGCCTATTTCTCTTTAAATTACTATAGTACTTTTGCAAAATAAATGAATTAATGTTGAGACATTCTTATTAATTAAATTTCCCCCATTTTGCCCCCTAACATCCTTTTTATTAAGACTCTCATCCAGGGTACCAGCTAACATGTAGTCATCGAAGCTATGAGCATTTCCCAGACCTCTTTTGCTGTTCAGAAACTCGACAGTCTTGAGAGTGCCGAGACGACCACGATGGCCTTGCCTCCCCTGGCCCTAGGGCACGGTGAGGGCCCCTCAGACCCACCCACTGGGAACCTGGTGGGAACACAGGGAATTCTTGTAAATGTCTTGGTGACTCGCTCACACCCTCCCCGGGACTGCAGCCCTCAGGAGCTTCTCACCATGTGAGTTGCCCTTTGCCCTTCACATGATTTTGAAAATACTGCTTGTGTATGTCACTGGTGTGTGCCTCCCCACGGCTTCTGTTTGAGGTGAGCATATCTGGGGGGCTGTGTCTTTCTGGATGCTCTTGAATCTACCGATGTTTGGTTTTCCCTGCAATCTTGTTTCCCTGTTGGATTAAAAAAAATCAAATTTCAGTTTATATATTTCTTCTCATAAAGATGGAAGAAACAACTTCCTGGTTCTTTGTATTTCGGAGGTGAAACTAGAAGTCCCTGCTGTTTTTCTGCACTGGCCTGCCCCTCGTCCTGATTCTTCACCCGATTAGGTGCCTCTAGAGATGCTCCAGATAATAAAAGCCAGGTGCTAGGAAGGAGTTGGCCCCATGTTAAAGAGCTTTTAAATGGGTCCACCACATGGCCTGAAGGTGTGCATGTGAAGGGAAAATATTGCATTTATACTTTAAAAGTTAAATTTTATTTTAAGAGATTATTCATTAGATCTTAATGAGCCAAGAAAGGTAATTATTCTGAGGTTTCTTCTGGGACCTCATTGGAATATAATCATTTTAGCTAATTAATTTTTACATAATTAGCGTACTTCAATTTTACCAAGACTTAATTGTTCTTACAATTATTGCTTTATAGTTAAATATGATTGTGGACATAAACTGAAACTGATTTTAATAAAAGTAACATGTATGTTTTAAGATACGTAATGCTTCTCAAATTTTTATTTCACTGATTATAAAAAGTGAATGATCAAGTTGGTAGAAATACATATATAATCCTCCCTTTTAAAATGGCATAATGTGGGATAGTAAATATATTTTTATCACACATTACTCTCTGGAAACAGTGGAATACAAAAAAGCAAAAAGAAAAGGAAAACAGTCATTGAAAGTAAGAAATAATCACAAATTTATCAGCAACAAGAAGAAAAGAAGCTAAAGTGAAATAGTTATGAAATTAAAATAAAACACCACAAACAATTGTAACTATCTTTATATGTGTGTCTGAGTGTGTGTGTGTGTGTGTGTGTGTGTCCTCCTGAGTGCTAGGTACATCATCCACCACTGACCTACACCTCCAGCCCTCTAAAATCATTTTGCAAACTGCAGAGTCTTGCAAATATAGATAAACGCTTACAGAAATTTCTAATCCATAATGATATCCCAGGGAAAAATCAGATGGGTGTACAATGCTGAGAAAGTTAACAGAGTTTTCAAAACAGCACTAAGGGAGCATTTACAAGAGATCAGAACCGCCACCACCCCAAATGGATAGAGCGTTTGCCCTCATGGGGCTTGCAGACAAATAGGTGGTAAACAAACTGGAAACCGTGCATATATAAGTGCTGTAGGGAGAAATAAAGCAAGAAAGGAGGAAATGGGCTCCCACAGTTTGTTGAGAGTCATCTTTACTTTGAAAGGTGGTGAAATCTTGATAGGATCTTATTTTGTTGTTGTTGTTGTTGTTGTTGTTGTTTGTTTTGGGTTTTTTTGTTTGTTTGTACTGGGGATCGAACCCAGGTCCTTCTGCTTGCGAGGCAGGCGGCTGAACGAGAGGATCGTATTTTGGCAAAGACAGAGCCACCAGGAGGTGAACAGTGCAGAGGTGTGGGTAGGCTGCAGTGGGTGTGGTACATCCACTGATTGAGAAGAGCCCAATCCTTGGAGGAATCCGAGGCTCTGGGCCTTACTGTCACTCTGAATTGAGTAATAAAGTAGCTAGAGGGAATTTGGCTAGTCTCACTCTTACCTCTATTTCCAAAGAATTTTGGTGCTGGGCATGTAGCTCAGTGATATGCTTCCCCGGCATGCACAAGAACCTAGGTTCAATGCCCAGCACTGCGAAAGAAGAAAAGAACAAACATTTAAGAGAACTGTGTTTGCTGCTCAGTGGAGAAGCCTTTTACAGAAAGTCAAGTTAGGCAGTTACAGTAATGGTCAGAGTAGACAGCATGGGTTCATTGCAGGAGGTAAAGTGTGGTTGAAATCTGAATATATTGTTATCAATTTTAGTAGATTCGGTATATAAAGTGATGGGAAGAAAATAATCGAGAATGGCTCTTAGACTTAAGATCTTAGTCTGCTCCTTGTTTTATAATAACATATCTTCTCATAGATAACTTATAAATACCAGAAGTTACTTTCTCACAGTTCTCAGGACTGGTAAGTTCAAGATAAGGAAACCAATGCACTGAAAATCTGGAGAGAGCCTTCACAGAGGAAGCAAGATAGCTCCTGAACCTTTCTTATGAGTTTACTAATCCCATTTGTTAGGGCCTGCACTTCTCCAAGGGCCACACTTACTTTAAAATGTTCTATTAGTATATACGTGTTATGCATAATAAATGCGTTCACCCCGCTGAACTGTAAGATACACCACACCTTGACCCTTCTGCTCCCTTCCTCTCCCTCCAGCCTCACCTCATCTCCAGCTGCCCTTCCCGTCTCCACAAAGTCCATCTCCCTGTTTCCTGTCTGCCAGGTTTATTCTGCTCTTTCAGTGATTTTTTTTTTTTTGAGTTTATTGGTACATTTAGGGATACAGTACAGTTACATTCATTGTTGGGATCATGTACCTTTACATGGCAAGTCTTGATTCTCATTTTTTCCCCTT